CATCATATTTTTTCCTTTCAGCCATTTTACCTACAGTAATTCCTTTATAAAAACCACTGATATTATGATTTTTAATTTTTAGAGTTAAAGAAGAAAAACTCTGAGAATTGTTGTTCCCTTTTCTCAAATACAAATAAATTTTTTTGCATTAAAAGCAGTTGATAATTAAGTAGAATTAAAAACTTAACCTAGTTTTTTTAAGCAATCAAGTTTACTCAACAACTAAGTTACTTAATAGAGAAAAAAAAAATCTAGTTAACCATACCATAAAAATTTTATTAATCATATCTACTTGATTCAAGTAGAAATTCAAACACAACCTAGTTTCAACGAAGGCATACAACTTTAAACTAAAAATACTCCAATATATTTTTAAATTTAATTCTACAAGAAAACAATACAAACACTTGGTTGATTTAAATATATACTAATTTATATAATTTTTACTTAAATAATTCAATTCGCCTGAGCGAAGGTCACGCCATTATTTGCGTAAACATACTCTTTTAGATATTGCCGTGCTGTACGTTTAAAAAACGTTTTTTTATCACGTTAAAAAAACGTTTTAAAAACGTTCATAAGCTAACTGAGATAAAAAAAAAAGTAATAAAACGTTTAAAAAACGCTAAAAAAACGTTTAAAATAACATTAAAAAAAAACGTTTGCAAAAAAAACGTTTTAAAAACGATTGTATTGGTTCTTTTAACGTCCAACCGTAAATTGAACGGAATTAAAACGTTTTTAAAACGTCCTGTGCTTACTGGGATCTAGTGCGTGAGTTTTTTTTATTAAAAAAAGCTTCAAAACAACTGTATTTTTGAAAAATCTGCTACTAGGCCTCTGATTTTAGTTCCCTTACCACAACTTAGAAGTAATAATATTATTTGAAAAAAACTCAGACACTAGCAATACATTAGATGAATATGAAAACTTCAAGAAGTTATCATTATTAATTCAAAAGTTATGGTGTTTTTCGTGAGACAGTTATCTTAAAAAACTATATGACAGAAAATCAAAAAACAAGAAGCAAAAAATTGTGTTTAAAACTAAAATATGTATAATATTTACAGGTTTTCTACCACGACCACCAACACCTTTTCTTGATAACATTCTTTTGTTATTCCGAAGGTTTGTTATATTAAATCTTTATTATTTTACTAGAGTCTAACTAAAATATTAAATAATTTCAAGAAACACATAAAAAAACAGTCAAAAAAAAATTATTATAAAAAGGCCTGCCTGCTGTTTGCACTTTGCAACAACATAACTTATAATTATTAAATACTTAACAACTTGGACGTACAAGGCAACATTAGAATAGCAAAAGAGATGCATTTCTTTAAGTTTTAAAGTACATTTAAGCTATGGCACAAAATGACCCACAACAAAGTAAACAGCCCGGGCCCCAAAAAGTCCTAATAAAATATTTTTTTATTGCTTATTGGAAAAACAACAAAACAGTCCCTTTTTTGTTGTTTTTCCATTAAGCAATTATAAAATATTTTATTGTATCTACAACTGATTTGATCTTCTTATATTTAATAGTTTTTCCTTTAAAAAAAACATTACAATTATTAAAATTCCAGATGTGATCGAGATGTGAGTTTTCTAATTAAGCCAAATTTATGCCAAGTAGTTTTTCTAGGTTTTCCCTTTGAAACCCAGTTAAAGAGTTAAATATTTCACTATTATCAGTTAAACCATTAACCATAAACCACAGTCTAAACCAGCTTTAATAGCTTTGGAAAGTTTATTTCTCATTTTCGTATCTCTATTTTGAGATTTCTCTTTTAATCTAAAAATGATGATTTTTTCATTTCTTAATCTTCTTTCTTTCGCATTTTGCCTGTATTTTACACCTTGCTTGATGCAAAATGTTACTAATTTCAATAGAGTAGAATTTAAATAATCAATAGAGTAATTAGCCTTAACTTTTGTAACTTTATTAACAAATGTAATTTCTGCATTTGGCGCTCTTTTTAATAGTGAACTTACCTTCTCAAGTGTCCTCTCTGCCCATATATTGTGAATCGGGGCACTTGCAGCTTGTTGTTTCATTTCAGCAATTGAATTAGAAATGGCCTAGCAAAATAACGCGAAAGTTCCCGTAACATAACTGATAAGAATGACTTAGCTAGAATAGTTATTACAAAGAAAAGGTTTTTTAGTGAGACACCTTTAGTAATCCGTAGTGACTTTAAAGTATCATCTTCCAATAAGGGACAATCGAATGCATTAGTTAAAGTCATAAGAAGAAAGTTTGGCTTGATATCAACACGCTTTATAAAATCAACTGTTTTTTTGAGTTAGGCAAGCTTTATTAAAAAATAAGAATTGGTTTTTTTATTAAAAAAAAAAAAAAACTTGAATAATATTAATCATGATACAGTGGCTTCAGCAGTGAATAAATAACCCAAGGATCATATGTTCAAAACTGCTGTTCACACATAAGCATCATCCTTAGGATAGAAGATAAGAAACCATCCCATTAAATGATATACCTTATGTGGTACGTTGTGATTACATTTTTCAAGGAGAAGGTATTACAAGAATACTTCATAATATATGAAGTATCCTTAAAAAAATAATAATAACTTTACTATGTCAAAATGATTTCTTTTTGTATCTTCTGAATAGAATATGACCATCCATGTGCTAGTCAGAACTTTACCCCAAAGACCAAGCGCTTGCAGGTGGATGAGAGTTGATTGATATTTTAGATTATTTAAAATAGATACACTAAGAAATGTGTGATTGTTACAAAACTTCTCTAAGTACTCTTTCAACAAACATTTATATTCATAAACAACAGCAGCCAAATAGTAAATGATATGTAACCTATTGCCAATGTATTGAGGAAAAATACCACATGATAGTCCATGGTCCCTCAAAAAGATTTTGAAGCCTAAAGGATCACTTCTTTGTTTATATCTAAAAAAAGAATGCAATTTTTTAAGAGAAAATTTCCAAAAGACTTTAAAGTGACTCATAAGTTAATCATAATAAGGTAGTATTTATAATAATAATTTTTACCTTAATTTTGAAATGCTATATAGAAGATTTGCAGCTCGACAGTCAGAACCAAATGTGGTACTTTGAATAATTATATTAAATTTTATAAGAACTGTACAAGCTTCATCAGCCATCCCTTCAAGTAGATGAAGATAACAATGCAGCTCAAGCAAATGTTTTTCAAGGATATTTTTAAGTTTAATCACTGTCAAGTGGTTGCTGAAACTCTGTCTGTTAAGGTGCATAAGAGGTAGCTAAATATTTTCTTTTTAATTTCTGTAGAATCGACACAGTTAAAAATCGTATATGTAGTAGCAACATCATTAAAAAATTCAAGAATATGCTGAACATAATCATCGGTTCAACCTCCAGGAGTCTTTGCTGCACTAACTGTCAAAATTGTGTGGGCAGTTGCTATGTGAATCTCGTTAATATGTACATCATTTAAGCTAGTTGTATCAAATGCAAGAGTAAAACCTTCGCTGTTCAAAATAGTTTCTGCAACTTGAAGTGTAGCTAAGATCCCCATTTCACGAGCAATATAAGATATTGTTGAGGGTGTTGGAATACCCAAAATAGAATGATTTGTAAGTAGTGATATACATGATTGTATTATATTGGGAGCACTGTCAACAGAAACATTATTTTCAATACACCTGTGAATCACGATTCTCATGCTACAATTAAAATGTTTATTATCGCATTTTGTTACCATATTAGTTTTGAATTTTTCTTTCATATAATTGTTCTCTTCTTTCATATTATCTATTACAAAGTCTTTGTTTTTGTATTCAATCAATTGGTTTTTTATAATATCTTCAAGGTTTATAACTTTTTCATCAAGTCTTCCGGCTGTCTTTTTGTATGCTATAACAGATTTGGCTAATATTCTTGTTTTCAAACGGAGTTTCATTATAATACTTTTTTAAAATTTTGTTTTCTTTCTGGAGATTAGTTAAGTCTTTTTTACATTTTAAAACTCTATTTTTATTTCTTAGTTGATTAATTAGAGTTATTTTACATTTTTTTTTAATGGTTGCATTCTCATTTTTTCAATTTTATTTATTTTAATGTTTTTGCAGAGATCAAAACTTTACCTAGAAAAACAGAGATGAACCTCTTTCTGTCGAGTTATAGAGACAAACAAATTCCATTTTTTGAGACGAATAGTTTATTGATTGAACTAATCAAATACTTTGTTGACCCAGAATTTAATTTAAACATCCTTTTGAGATTGGATTTTCTGTCACACTGGAATTTGGAACTACTAAAACAAAAAGAATAACAGGTGTCAAAAAAGGTTTCCTCTCCGTAAAATTAATTATTACTAATTACAATAAAACCCAATTAAAATAATAATAGTTTCACCGTTAAGGAAACGTAATATTTTATTAATTTAATATTACAATAACTTTCCGCAGTATTTTAATAAATCAATAACTTTCCGTAAGGGATATGAAACCATTGATAAAAGTATGCGACAACAAATTTGAATATCAAACCTCAAAAATTACGTGTTAAATTCGAGTTAAACTGCCCGCAATATATATTCAGTTTTTTTGGTTTACACTTGAATTGTGACGTGTGTACACAGGTTTTAATTCCAAAAAAACAAAACTAGATGTGTCAGTTGAACTAAAAGATGTCTCAAACATCATCTTTCATGTTCGTCAACAAAAAAACAGAAAGTACTCGAGCAAAAATACTTTTCATAAGCAAATTTTTTTTTGTTATTAGAAATATTAAATTATTATTTAAGCTGCGGATATATCACTGATTTTTAAAATATAAAAATAAGCTATAACTGTATTGAATATCTAAAGCGTTACTATTGTAGTGTTTTTTACAAACTTATGAACAATAACATTAAATATAAGTTTTATTTAGATTATTTAATTAAAAAAGTGCCATTATTAGCAACTGGTGCATATGTTTATTCTTTATAGTCATACATTACAAAAAGGTTACCTATATTCTTTCTTTTTCAGTCTCTGCTTGGAATCGGCGCTGTAGTTGGATTGATCCTTGGGGGTTTCTGCTTAGAATATTTCGGAAGAAAAAAAGGAATAATGTTATCGGCATTATTTTACACTCCAGGATGGGTTTTAATTGGCTATTATCCCAATAAAACAAATTTATATATTGGTAGAATGTTGACAGGGGTTGCCACTGGTTTGTGTTCACTCACTGTACCCGTAAGTATATTATAAGAATGTTTGCTGTTAAAAGTATAAGTATGATTTCTTTAGACAACCGTTATTTTTTTTGGTTTGTCTGTTTTTGCCTGCCTAGTCAGTTTCAAACTCTTAATTAATTTCCTAATTTAATTGTATAATTAAAAAGAGACCGTTAGTTTAATTCATGTTTGCTATTTAGATATATATTGCGGAAGTTTCATCATTTAAATATCGTGGAAGGTTAGGAGTTGTAAATCAAATTGGTATCACTATAGAGATATTTTTAGCTTTTTTAATAGGTTCATACGGCAACTCCAAACAATCAGCCACAGCTGCATTTGTTATTGCTTTAGTCATGGAAGTTTTAGTTTTATTTATTCCCGAATCTCCTAGATGGTTGTTTGCTAAAAAGATGCGATACGAAGCCTGTAAAACATTAAAATGGTTACGAGGCAGCTCATACGATGTGGAAGATGAATGTATTGAAATTGAACATAACTTGGGTATGTTACGTTTATTTTATAGAGTAATCAATAACTTGGATTTGTTATGTTTTCTAATTATAAAATTATAAAATAGGTTTAATGCAAAAAAAAAACAATTATTTTGCCAGGATTTGCTATACAATTTGTTGAAAACAAATTTTACGTCTTACAAAAAGAATTAATATAGGAGGAATTCTAAAATAAATAAAAAAAAAACTTGATTAAAAAAAACTACTTTGCATTATTTAATTATGTTATTGTAGGCGGTTTTCTATGACTAATCATGTTGAACTGGTTTTTGTTTTTAACTTATTTTCTTCATTCTATAGGTATTTTGAAAGTGTGGTTGTGCTTAGGGTTAGGACTATTATTTTGTAATAAAAACAATAACAGTAACAATAACTATTGTTGTTGTATTAACTTAATTTAGAAACAATAACAATACTTGTGATTTATAACTATTGTAATACTGTAATACAATAACAATAAATATTGTATTGCAATTCATCTTTATAAAACAATAACAGTATTTGAAAGAAAAAAGGTAGTGTAATGACCCACTACAATAACAATAAATATTGTATTGTAATTCGTTTTTATAATAAAATAACAATATATTGTTATTGTAATAAAAAAAAAACTATTTTAGCATCAAAATTTAATATATGTTTTAACAGTCCAATCTCTGAGATATGTGGCCTTGAAATAGCGTACAACTAATATATAAGTATTGATTCTGCTTCTATTTTATTTACTGAATATCTCTTGTTCTCATTGCAAATTTTAAATAGCCCTATTAAAGTGAGTTTAATTGGGCCTGTTTTTATTTTTTTTTTAGCTTTCCTGTTTTCACTTCACTTGTCGAAATAAATAAAAGTTATATATATAAATGACTGCTATAAACGAGGGTCAGGGGATTGCTATATTATCTAGTGCCCAAACAATAATAAATGCGTAAAAAAAGAATCTCAATACTATAAAATACAATAGCTATTAAACTTTGAAATAGTAATACAATACACCACAGTACTTATTGTAAATGTTTTTTATCCCAGCAGTACAATACAATAGTTATTGTAATTGTTTTACATCACAGCAATACAATACAATAGTTTTAGAGTTTCAATGTATTGTTAGAAAAAAACACAATACAATAGTTATTGCAACTGTTTTTATTCACAGGAATACAATAACCATAAATAAAGTCTTAATTACATCTCTAGAAATACAATACAATATTATTGTATTGTAACTGTTACTGTATTTAACTTTTACAACAACGTAACAATAGCCCTTACCCTAGTTGTGTTTGTAAGATAATTTTTTTTGAACAATTACTTGTGGTTCACCAATCTAATAATCACACAAGTCCTTTATTAAAACTATATATGTCGGATGCAGTTAGAATTGATGCAATCCATTTATATATTGTACTTGTTTTTCTACAATCTCCGTTTATAGAGCAGATTTTGCTTAGATTGCTATTGAAAGCTAAAATTGCATTTTTCTCCAGTAAATAATTATTTTTTTACGAGAAAAAAATCATAATTTTTACCTGGTAATTAGTATGAAACAAATAGCAGTAAAAATGTTAATTTATTCTTTAAATATATGCTTGTAATAAGGAACTTATCACTATATCATACCTAAAACCTGAAGAACTTCTGAACATACCTTCATGAATATAAATTTTTCTAAAGCGACAAAGTTTGCTGCAAACCAAACAATTAATATTTGATTTAATTTAATGCATCTCTAAGCTAAAAAAATATTCAAATACAGAGCTTACGTAATGTATAACATAATTTGTATGATTTCATGTAATCATATTTTACATCTTTAGATTTTTATATCAATATACTTTTGTATGTTTATAAATAAATATATATATATATATATATATATATATATATATATATATATATATATATATATATATATATATATATATATATATATATATATATATATATATATATATATATATATATATATATATATATGTATATATATATATATATATATATATATATATATATATATATATATATATATATATATATATATATATATATATATATACATATATATATATATATATATATATATATATATATATATATATATATATATATATATATATATATATATATATATATATATATATATATATATCCTGGTTAAATGCACATCCGCGGTGCTCTGTGACAAGACCGTTAGGTCTTCTTGGGGCACCTAAACAACAAAAAATATGTATATATATAAATATATATATATATATATATATATATATATATATATATATATATATATATATATATATATATATATATATATATATATATATATATATATATATATATATATATATATATATATATATATATATATATATATATATATATATATATATATATATATATATATATATATATA